AATACATTTGGGGCGAGTGTATTGCAGACGTATTGCGCCGGAGACTTGTATTGCATTGCATTGCAGGCAATGCATTGCGCGCGAAGGTACAGCAGTACATCTGCGCCCCGAAAGGTACTGCACGCCCCAAATGTGTTGCAACCCCACAAATCTGTTGCACCAGATCTATTGCACCACCCCCTTGTCGCTGGAACCCCTTTTGGGTCAACCCGATCCGTGGGCGCCCTGACCTTCCAGAGAGCAATTTTTTAGCACGGGAGGCCCAAAAGTGTAAAACAACTCAACGAAACAGCCTAAAACCAAGACACATAATAGCTCTGGGATAGGTTTTTAAGTCGCGTGCTATTTTGTAGCCCTCCTGGAAGGTCAGGGCGTGGGTGCTGCCCCATCCGAGGCTGGGCGGCTCCCCCGGGCGCGCCGCGCCGCGCGGCGGCGCCGCGGCCGCGGGGCGCCGGCGCCACAGTCTCCCGAGCTTCGGGCAGGCGCGGGTGCTGCTGAAGGCGGGCGGCGCGCGCCCTGCCCTGAGCCCCTCGCGCTGCGAGGAAGAGCTCCTCCTCCTCCTCCTCCTCCTCCTCCTCCTCCTCCGCCTCCTCCTCCATCTCTCTCCTCCTCCTCCCTCCTCCTCCTCCTCCCTCCTCCTCCCCCTCCTCCTCCTCTCCTCCTCCTCCTCCTCCTCCTCCCCCTCCTCCCCCTCCTCCTCCTCCTCCTCCAAATCGCGGCGGGAGGCTTGTCGCCATACTCTCGGCCTCCTGCATGGGGGCCCTCGCCGGGCCTCGGGGCCGTCAGCAGACGACTCGGGAGGAAAAGGGCCGGTGCCAAGGAGTGGCGCGACGGGAGTGGCGCGACGGGAGTGGCGCGACGGGTGTAGCCCTCGCGCTGCGAGGAAGAGAAGAAATCGCGACGGGAGGCTCTTCGCCATACAGTCAACGCGCACAGTGAGGACAAGCGATTTTTTCTCAAGGGTGCCCTTGGGTGCTGGCCTGCCTCAGCCTCTGCGGCCCGCCCAGGATACTTCAACTTCGGCCTCCAAGGGTCTTGCGTCCTTACCACGCGTCCTTACTATACGTTTTCACTGTACTCTCGGCCTCCTGGAGGCCCTCGCCGGGCCTCGGGGCCGTCAGCAGACGACTCGGGAGGAAAAGGGCCGGTGCCAGGGAGTATGGGTCGAGGCCTCCGGGGGTCGACGTCATGGGAAAATCATGACGTCGGGGGGCTGGGTTCGGTGGCGCGCGAGGGGGGGAGTAGAAAGGAGAAGGCCCTCTCAGAAGGCGGCGAGACGTCTCAGAAGCCCTCGCGCCTTCTGAGAGGTTTTCAATGTCTTCGGGGATGGCTTAGAACAACAACTCTCAGAAGGCAGGGGCACTTCCGAGCCTTCTGAGAAGGCCCGCCCCTTCTCACTTCCCTCCTCGGCCTGCCGCCAAACCCTGACCTTCAATCAGAGGAGGATGAGGTGCCGATACCGCTACCCTTCCCTCGTTGTTCACTGTTTGAGCCTCCTGGGAGGCCCTTTTCGCCACGGCTGGATTCGCTTCGAAATTCTGGTCAGATAGCTGTTTGGCTTCCCCATTCAGTGGCAACGTTGGGGTTCGAGATGTCCCGGCGATGCAGTTGGTTTTCCACGCGGTGTTCCCCCCTCGGGATGCTCTCAAGCAGCTGCGCCTCGTCGAGAGCGTTCCGGGGTTGCCTGGATCGCCCCGAACGGCCACCAGAGACTTGACATATGACCGGAAAGCCACAGGCTCCGGGGTAGGCTCAGGGGGTGACGCATCGACTCCCAATCGTACACTGATCCCATCCCGCCCAGGGACATGCGGGTTCGCTATCGGGGGCCTATCGCCGATCTGTCGGCGATGTATCGCCGATTCCGGGTCGATGTGCCCACCCTGAGCCGGTCCCCCCTTCTCGTTGCACCTCAGCCAGGAGGGGAAACAGCACACAGACACAATTACTCGTCGATGCCCCAGAAAGTATGGAAAAAAAGGGTAGTGGGGGAGAAGGCAAAAACCCAGAAAGTATTGGACAATATGGGGACGCCTGTTATCCGTGTCTACTAATTTGTGTGTGTCCCAGGGCCCCTTCACTCAGGCCCTCGCGCGTCGTGGAGTCAAGCGCGGCGAGGGTCGCTCTTCCCCCGTCTCGGCACCTGGAGGCCCTCCCCGGGCCCCCGGGGCCGTCAGACGATGCACGGCAGCCCGGTCCAGGGAAGCCGCGCCGTGAAGAGACGTGGCTGATGGGCCAGTGTTCCGCCACCGCTGCCATAGGCAGGACGGGGGAGAAGGGAGGGTGAGGAGGTCTTCCTCCTCCTCCTCCTCCTCCTCCTCCTCCTCCTCCTCCTCCTCCTCCCTCTCCTTCTCTTCCTCCCTCTCCTGTGGTAGCGGTGGTGGAAAATGGGCCCATCAAGGGTGGAAGTCTGGGGCCCATCGGGGCGGCCCTCGGGGGGCGGGGGGGGCGCCTTCTGAGGAGGCGGGGAGGCGCCCGAAGAGGCAGGGGTCTTCTTGGACGGAGTCTCCTCGGGTGGGGCTTCGGCGGAAGCCCCTCCTACGTCGGGGGCGGTTCGTGCGAGGAGGCCGCCCGCCTTCGGAGCAGCGCCCGCCACCTCCTGGGGAAGGCCGCCGCCCAGGCCCCCTCTGCGCCACCCGCTCCCGGGCATCCGCCGCTACGAGTCACGGCGGTGCGCGTTCACCGCCCGCCCAGGGCTTCGTTTCAGTCGGGCCTGTCCTTCCACAGGGGGAATATTCAAATATAGTTAAAACAAACAGTGTGGGGACGATAAAAACAACAACATATCTTTTCATTGTTTTGATTGTTTTAGTATTTCATTTTTGTCGCCCAAAATCCGCCTGCAGGGGGACCTGCCCGAGCGAAGTCTTCGTGCTCAGCACGCTCGTCCGCCGCTTACTGCCTGGTCGGCTCGCGGCCCTCAGCGTGGCGTCGCTCACTGCTTTTCTCTCCGCTGCTGGCGCGGCCCGCCGTAGCAGGCTCGGCGTTCGATTCGTTTCGCGCGCCCGCGGACCAACAAGTTCACCGCCCGCCCATGTCCAGTTCTCGAAAGAGGAGGCGCAGACGTCGCGAAGACTGGGCGACCACACTCCGAAAACAGCGAATGATTCCCCAGCGCGTGTCTTTCGTATTGTTTCCTGCGCTCCATGTTTCTTCCATCCCATCTCAGATCGGGCTCAGGTGCGCCGTGTGGCTGATGGGTACATCTATATGTAGATGCATTGGTACACGAATCTATATGTGTATATATATATGTATATATATATATTCGTCGATCAGTCGTCGGCCCGTCATATGACCAACGGATCAGTGGTATGGACGCCGGCTCTCTGGACCCAGTTCTCCTTATCCACGGCAGGAAGCCAGACATCGCCGGAGCACTGCCCGGGACGACCGAAGATGGCCCGAGCACGGTCCAAAAAAGGCGCTCACGAGGGCCGAGGATCAAGCAGTGACGAAGCGCCCTGGCTCGCCTATAGCCCTACCAAACAATGTTCTAAGAAACTTTTGTGGTCCCCACAAAATGTTCTTAGAACGTTTCTGGTTGGGACTGTCTTGTTTTCTCACATCTGGTTTATGCTCTAAGAACCCGGTTTCCTTAGAGCATTTCTTGGGTTCTAAGAACATTTCGTGGTAGGACTATGGGAATGCCGGGACGGTCGGCCCCTGCTCAAGAGGAGGGCCCCGAGAAGGGCCCCAAAAAGGCAGCCAAGGAGGGCACGAGGCGGCCCGGGGGGAGCCTCTGGACCGCCCGCGCGTTGGGCCGCAACCCCGTCCGAATGTCATCACAGGGGTCGACCTACGCGATGTTTTGGAGTTCTTGGGCCGTTTTCGATCGATTCCGTTTTGCAGCGAAGGCGGAGTGAAGACCAGAAAGAGGAGCTACGAAACCAAAACCAACACGAGAAGCACTGTTTGGTACGATCCCTGCGCCGTCAAACATCAGCCTGGTTCGAGGTCGGTTTGGGCCCCGCATCGGGGTCCAAGCTGGACCTAGCATGGTCCAGAATTGACCCTGGAGAAAAGCGCAGTCGAAACTTGCAGTTCGACGAATGCTCCATACGAGCCCGAAAGTCAGCTGTTAGAGGCGTCTGGGCGGTCCCCTGCGAGGCTAGAATCACAACACACCTATGGTTTTCGCTTTATTGTTGGAAGTTTCGAGTTTGTAGGCGAAGTTGGGCCCAAGTGGCGCTCTTAAGGTCTCCAGGGTCGAAGTCTGGGAGTCTTGAAAGGGCCCAAAAGGGGTGGAAATGGAGCCTGATTTGCGCCCCGAGAGCGTATTGCATTGGGAACGGTATGAAATTCGAGCTCGTCTTGGGCGCCGTTTGGAAGCCGTCTTGGGGCTCGACAGTGGCCAGGCGGCGGAATGGCGGAGGCCTCTGGGGGGTCCAGGGGGAAGGGGCCAACAGCCCTGCAAGAAGCTTCCACAGTGATATCTCACACGCAGCCTGGTGGGCGGGCGGATTCAAGAGGCATTCCGCAGACCCCCAGACGAAGTGAGGAGCCCATGAAAATGGCTAGGGGGAGGTGAAGGCTAGAATTTCTTACATGACCAGTTTGGTTTCAGCGTTTTTGGGCCTGGCTACCCTTTCAAGTCCCCTCTGAGTCTCCCCTCACTGGGTATTGGACCCCAGGGGAGAGGGAAAGGGAGATCAGAAGACATTATCGCCTCACACGCTTTTGCATCTCCCGCACGCGGCGGTCGGCGGATTCCGACTCTGGCAGTAAGCCAGATGGGCAGGCCCTCTTCGAAGGCCGCCACCCGGGCCCCGTGCACCACCCGTTCCCTGACCTCCGCCAGCACGAGTTGTTCCGTCCGTGGCCCCAGAGGCCCACCGCGTCACACGGGGGGGTAGTGTTTCGCCTCGGAGCCATGTCTGATTGCCCGGGGGACCCAGAACGGGCCCTTCGGAGAGGCCGAGATCGATGACAAGCGCCCCGCATGGGCAACTGCCAGCTCCTCGCTGCTCTGCGCCGGTGCGCCGCGCCGCCCTCCAAAGGAGGACCTCGTGGGGCGGAGCGCCGTGGAGGTCCTCCTGCAGCTGGGCGCCCTGTCCGGCAGCGACTTCGGCGCCGCCTGGCAGCACTTTCGCCGCGCGGCACTGCCGCAGGTGTGCTCCGACCTCATCGCCCTGGGCCGCGTGCCCGAGGCGTTCGACGTGCTGTCGAGGCACGGGAGCAGGTTTACCCCGGACGAGGTCAGGGGCTCCGCAAGGGGGGGGGAGGGGCGGGTTCGTTTCGGACGAGGTTCGAGGTGTTCGGATGTTTGCGTCGGTTCTCCGCGGTGTCTCCAGCAGCCACGCCTCGCCGAGAGCGTCCTGGGCTTGCCCAGATCGTCCCGAACGGCCGCGGGAGATTTGAGCCACGCATGGCCCGAGAGCCAACGACTGGGGCAAGGCAGCTCGGGGGGGGGCGCGTCGACACCCAACCGCCCACTCATCGCCGAAGGGGGGTCCTTGAGCCCACCACGCCCAGGAAGGGTGCGGACTCGCCCTCGCCGGCCCGTCGCCGCTTCCAGCCCGCGGCTTCCCCCCTATGAGCCCGCTGCTCCGCCCCTGCCCGGCGCCACCCCTCGAGAGGTGATGCAGGTCTTCGAGGCGCTGCCCTTCGACCTGGACGCGGAGGAGGAGCGGCGGCTGCCCCACAGGGTCGTGCACCAGGCCGCGAGGCTGGCGCCGTGCCGCGCGCAGCTGATGCGGTGGCTGACCACCCGGGCCGAGCTGCTGGAGGCCCGGCTCCAGGCCCCCGACGCGGCCCTGCACCTGCTCGGCACGCTGGTGGCCTCCGCCGCGCCCGAGCACTGCAGGCCCGCGGCCGGGCAGCCGTACTGCCCGCTGGCCGCCGCCCTCGCGCGCGAGGGCGCGCAGGCCTTCCCCGAGGCGCGGGTGGCCAGCGGCGCGCTCTGGTGCGGCTCGCCCCCGCCCCTGGCGTCCGCCGGCTGCTGGGCCCGCGGCCTGCCCCCGCGCGGGGGCGCCGCGGAGGCCCGGCCCGGCGGCGCGGACGACGACGGCGTGGACACCATTGGGGGAGCGAACAAGAACGTGAACCGAAAAGCTCGGAGGCCCGCGTGGATTTCTCGGATCGGCGCTGTGGCCCCCCAGCGGCGCTCCCGGCGCCGCCGCGCCAGGGAGGGAGGTCCAGCGCCGATCCGCGAAGTCCGCGCGGACCTCCGAGTTGTTACGCTTGTGCCATGGTTCGTTCCCCTGACCATGCTGGAGCTCTTCCGGCAGCTGCTGTGCTGCGCGCACGTGCGCCAGACGCACGGGCTCCGCCTGGGCCTGCAGGAGCTGCGCGGCCCGGGCGCCGAGAGGCTGGCTGCGGCGAAGCTGCTAGACAGGGCGCTCGCGCCGGAGCTGGTGGCCGAGGAGGTCCGCGCGCACGTGGGCCCGCTCTGCGAGTGGAGCGGAGTCAGCCTGGACGACGTGCTGGGCGAGTACGTGGCGGAGCTGGCGGACAGCTTCGCCTTGCCGAACGGCGAGGTCCGCCTCGAGCGGGCGGCAGCGGTCCTGCGCTGCGTGGGCAGCGTCGACCACCGGGCGCGGGGCCTCGTGGGCCTCCTGCAGCGCTGGGGCGGCGCCGAGGTGCCCCCGGAGCTGAAGCCGCTGGTGGACGAGTCCGCGGCGTGGCCGGCCTGCCACAGCCGCGCGGTGCGGGAGCAGCTCGCGCTAGCAGAGCTGCAGCGCATGCTGCGCAAGTACGGGCTCGGCGGGGGCTGCGTGACCTACCCTTTGTACAACGCCAGGCTCGTCAGCCACCTGCTCAGCCGCGTGGACGGGGACGCGGGCCCGCTGCAGGACGCTTTGGCCATCATAGGGATCTTCCCCCAGCACTTCTCGCGCGCGGAGGCGCTCTTCCTGTGCCTCTCCCACGTGGCTTCCGCAGTGGAGGGCGGCGGGGCGCCGCCAGAGGTTCTCCAGCGCAGGGCAGACCTGGCACTGGGCTGCGCGTCCTCGGGCGCGGAGCGGAGGGCCGCCGCCGCGTACTTCGCGACCTACTGCTGCGACCTGCTGGGCGAGTGGGCATGCGCGATCCAGTCGGGCCAGGCCGGGGCCACTCGCGGGCAGGCCGCGGCGCTGAAGAGCTGCTCCTCGGCCCTCTGCGCCCTGGCGATCGGCCTGTCGCACAGCGTGCTGCTGGCCCCGGAGGACGCGGCAGGCGACGACCCGCGCCGCGATGCGGGCGACGGGGCGTTCGACCTCTTCGCCCGGCTGAGGTACGGGACGGGAAGACGACCACAGCCACTGCTTTTCTTTTGTTGCCGCCTTCCAGCCCGCAGAAACAAAGCAGCGGTTGTGGTCATTTTCGTTGAGCTTGGCACCAGGGAAATGACCACAACCACTGCTTCTTTTTCGGCCGGCTGGAAGGCGGCGCAAACAAGAGGCAGTGGCTGTGGTCATTTTCCCGTCCCGAATGAGGGGCCTGCATGACGAGTTCGACCTCTTCCTGGACCCGCTGGACATCTCCAGGGGCCCCGCCGAGCCGCCGCAGGCGGCCGGCGCCTGCGGGCCCCGTGCGGAGCGGCCCGCCGTCGAGCTCTTCCGGCGGCAGGCGGCGCGGCTGCTCGGCGACGCGGGCGGCGACGCCGCCTGCGGCGGCGATGGCGCCCGCGTGACGCGGCTGCTGCGGCTCGGGCAGTTGCTCGGGCTGGCGGGTGCGCACGCGAGGCAGCTGGCCTTCCTGGAGGCCTGCCCGCGCGGGCTGGCCCACCTCTGCGCCGCCCTGCTGCCGCGGATGCTCGAATGCCGGGACGCCGAGGGCCTCGAGGGCCTGGCGGGCTTCGTCCGCGAGGCTCGAGGATCAAGGAGTGGCGGGCGAGGCGTCCCGACTTGCCTATAGGCCCACCAAAGAATGTTCTAAGATATGTGCTGTTGCACGAGATGGTCTTACGATATGTCCGGCCGAGGCAGCCGTGTTTTTGGTATGAAGCGGCTTCGTGATCTAAGAACACTGCTTCTGTTGTTAGAGCATTCGCTTGCCTTACAGACATGTGATTGTAGGCCTATAGGAATGCCGGGACGGTCGGTCCCAGCTCAGGAGGAGGAAGCAAGTGCATTATAAGCATCATTGCCCAGAGCCCCGCGCAGACTTCCCGGGTCTGCGTTGGACCCCATCTTGGGCACTTGTACAGGGGGGTCCAGCGCCGATCCGAGAATTCCACGCGGGGCTTTGCAAGTGTACAGTCGGGCCGCTGAAGAAGGAACCCTGTTTTCGTTGGGGAGGGGCTCAGCGTTCCTTAATTATTTTGCAGTTTGTCTTGAATTGTTATTGGGTCTTCCATGAGAAAGCGAAGTTTAACATACGGAGAATTTGCCTGGCGAAGAACCCAACCCCATGCAGTTGTGAATACCGTCGTTGTTAGTATCGCCTTCGGTGGATCTCCTTATGGAGCCACGAAGCGCGTGAAGAGTGTGCCGAAATTGAGCGGATCCTTCATGCGGGCGTTGCTACTGGGGCTTGACGTAGAACCCCCTTGATGGGGCCACAAAACGTGTGAGGGATGTGCCGAAATGGGGCGGGGACGCCATGCGGGCGTTGCCACTGGGGTCTTCGGTGAAGCTGCCTATGGGGCCACGAAACGTGCGAGGGGCGAGCGGCGATGATGGGGATGATCATGAAGATGCGCAGGGCCTTTCGTGGAGCTCCCTATGGGGCCACGACATGTGTGAGGGGTGTGCCAAAATGGGGCGGCGCCGCCATGCGGACTGCGCCACTGGGACCTCGGGTGGAGCTCCCTATGGGGCCACGAAACTTGTGATGGGTGTGCCAAAGTTGGGCGGCGCCGCCATGCGGACTGCGTCACTGCGATCTCAGGTGGAGCTCCCTATGGGGCCACGAATCGTGTGAGGGGCGGCGCCGCCATGCGGACGGCGCCACTGGGACCTCAGGTGGAGCTCCCTATGGGGCCACGAAACTCGTGATGGGTGTGCCAAAGTTGGGCGGCGCCGCCATGCGGACTGCGCCACTGGGACCTCAGGTGGAGCTCCCTATGGGGCCACGACATGTGTGAGGGGCGGGCCACAATGGAGCGGCGCCGCCATGCGGACTGCGCCACTGGGACCTCAGGTGGAGCTCCCTATGGGGCCACGAAACTTGTGATTGGTGTGCCAAAGTTGGGCGGCGCCGCCATGCGGACTGCGCCAGTGGGACCTCAGGTGGAGCTCCCTATGGTGCCACGAATCGTGTGAGGGGCGGCGCCGCCATGCGGACGGCGCCACTGGGACCTCAGGTGGAGCTCCCTATGGGGCCACGAAACTTGTGATGGGTGTGCCAAAGTTGGGCGGCGCCGCCATGCGGACTGCGCCACTGGGACCTCAGGTGGAGCTCCCTGAGGGGCCACGACATGTGTGAGGGGCGGGCCACAATGGAGCGGCGCCGCCATGCGGACTGCGCCACTGGGACCTCAGGTGGAGCTCCCTATGGGGCCACGAAACTTGTGATTGGTGTGCCAAAGTTGGGCGGCGCCGCCATGCGGAATGCGCCACTGGGACCTCAGGTGGAGCTCCCTGTGGTGCCACAATGGAGCGGCGCAGCCATGCGGACTGCGCCACTGGGACCTCAGGTGGAGCTCCCTATGGGGCCACGAGACGTGTGAGGGGTGTGCCCAGAGGGAGGGCGGCGCCGCCGTGCGGACTGCGCCACTGCGACCTTAGGTGGATCTCCCAATGGGGCCACGAAACGTGTGAGGGGTGTGCCCAGAGGGAGGGCAGCGCCGCCGTGCGGACTGCGCCACTGCGACCTTAGGTGGATCTCCCTATGGGGCCACGAAACGTGTGAGGGGTGTGCCCAGAGGGAGGGAGGGAGGGAGGAGGGGGAGGAGGAGGAGGAGGAGGAGGAGGAGGAGGAGGAGGAGGAGGAGGAGGAGAGGAAAGGAGAGGAGATGAACGCGGGGACCGCCTCTTCGAAACGAGGACCCAACACCACAGGATGGTTGGGGACAAAAAGGGCCTCGTCTCCTAGGTAGGGCCCCTCATGACAGCGCTTCGTTCGACGGTTTGTGCCCCTGGCTCTTCCTCTGGAGGCCCTGCGGCGCATCTGCGAGGCGAGGCCTGGCGTCTGGCGCCCGGCGGAGCTGCTGCTGCAGCTGGCGCAGGTCGAGGAGACCATCTCCGGCTGCCTCTGCCGGTGCCCCCCGTCGGACATGGCCGCCCTGCTCGGGCTGGCCGGGGACGTGCAGCTGGCCATGGAGACGCTGCTCAGCTCGGACCTCCTCGACGCGGCCGGCAGAGGCCCCGCGGAGGGCACCGAGCTGGAGTCCCTGCCCACCGCGCACGCGCACTACCTGGGCAGCCTCCTGGCCTCGCCCGCGCCCGAGGCCTCGTGCGCGGCAGCGGCGCCCCGCGCCAGCGTGCTGCAGAAGACCTTCGTGGAGATCCCGCTGCTCATTCCTGGAGCCACCGCGGCGCAGGCGTCGAAGAGAAAGCCCAGGTCGATCATCGGCAGGTGTCATCGCGCCGGTTGCTCCGACGCGTGGCCGCACGTCTTGGGGAGGGCGCCGGGGCCACCGGGGCAGACCCCGCCTCGGACGCGGTGGGCTTGCCGCGGGGTCTCTGCCGCGGTGCCAGTTGCGTCTCCTTGGGGCGCAGGACGCAGGGTTTGCCGGGGGTGTGCCGTGGTGTCCGCTTCGCCCACGTGGGCGCGTCGACGACAATCGGCACGGCGACATCTTGACAAGCCCTCGGAGCTCCGCGCGGAGTTCTCTGGTCGGCGCTGGACCCTCCCGGCGGCACCTCCGGCGCCGCCCCTGGCGCGCTCCGCGCACGCGCTGGGGGGAGCGGTGCTTAGAGGCCCGCCCCAAATTATCTCAGAATAGATATCGAACATATGTACTATAGTTAAGGAACGTTGTAGGATAGTCATATGCTAGTTTGTTGGATCGGCGCTGGCCATGGCCAGCGCCGATCCAAGAACCCCGCAAGAGCCTCTGAAAGTTTTTATGTTGACGCAGACCGCTCGTCTCGGGCCGGGCGAAAGGGGGGCATTGGGAAAGGGGGGGTTACGAAATCTGCTGCACGCAGCTGGTTTCGGCCCCACCGAGGGGCCCATTCCTCGATACATGGGCGCCTCCTGGCGCCGGGAAGATCAGCTACCTGAGCTGATTCTCAAACCCCCCCCTTTGCTATCCCCCCCTTCCGCCCGACCCGATCGTCTTCCCAGGCGGGCCTCGACTACCTCAGCTCCACGCGCGCGGCGCCCGCGGCGGCGGCGGTGCCCGCGGGGCCCCGCGCGGGCGCCGCCGCCGCGGGGGCGCCGCGGCCCCGGGCGCTGGCGCAGCTGCTCGCCGCCCTGCGCGCCAGCGAGTGCTTGGAGCTCGCGGCGTCGCTGCTGCTGCGGCACCCGGGCTCGTTCGACGGCTCTTGAGTCAGGGGCAACGATGATGGAGGATGACGATTAATAAATGACCAGGGGTCATATTCACGCGGCGGCGCCCGGGATGACGATTAGAAAAAACCGGCCGCGGGCTGGAAAACTATTCCTTTATAATCGTTCTCCTCCAGTCAGAAAATTGGGCAGAAATAGCAGCGAACTTGTTTTTTATTGTTCTCTCCCATTTTTTAATTCATCGTCATCCCGCATTAGGAGATGATAGGCTCGTTTCGGACGAGTTTCAAGATTCTGGGCGTTTTCGTTTGGTCCCCACGGTTTTCAAGCCTCGGGATGCCTCGCAGCAGTTGCGCCTCGACGAGGGCGTTCGGGGCTGCCCGGATCGTCCCAAACGGCCGCAAGAGACTTGCGTTGTGACCCAGGAACCAACGATTGGGGAATAGGCTCAGGGGGGAACGCATCGACCCCCGATCTCCCACTCATCGCCGATATGGGGCCAGATAACCCACCCAGCCAAAGGTGCAGATTCGCCAACGGGGGCTTATCGCCGATCTCTCGGCGACGCATCGCCGATTCCAGCTCGATGCTTCCCCCCTTGGTCCCCCCCTGACGTTGCCTCCCATCGAAGAAGAAACACCAGATGAACACAAACTTTTGGAGCTTCGTGCAGGTTTCTCGGACCTGTGCCCAGGACCCCCTCGCGGCGCCTCTGGCGCCGCCCCTGGCGCGCTCCGCGTGGCAGGGAGAGGGGTCTTGCGCCGATCCAGGAGATTCGCGTGAACCTCCGAAGGTTTACAGTCGGGGCCCTGAACAAGGAATCCTTTTCGTTGGGGAGGGGCTCCGCGTTCCTTGAGTGTTTCACAGCTTGCCTCAGGCTTTCCTTATGTTTTCGACAGGAAATCGAAGGTTAACTTATGGAAAAAAAGGGGCCTCGTTCCTTATTTAGGGTTCCTTAGGTCAACGCCCCGACTGTATTTTTGTCAGGACATGTGCTGCCCCTCTAGGCTCGGACCTGCGCCAGCTGTGCCGCGACAGGGGCACCAGGGTGCTCCGCGCTGGCAACGGGGTGGACCACCAGCTGGCGCTGGCCTACATGGGCTGCCTGGACGCGAAGAGCCGACTTCGCGACAAAAAATGCATTTCGAGGAATCACGATCGGCAACCTAGAGACCCCATATTTGTCCGTTTTTGTCGAACCAGATCGATCTGCGATGGTCTTGGGGCCCGAAGCAGGGCGAAAACGCCCCAGTGTGAAAATGTGCAACGCCCTGACTTTGGACCGAGCATTTTCTTTGGGTGGAGGGCCAAGGGGTGAAATCTGAAATGCCGTTTCGGTGGGTCTTCGAGGCCTGAATCTGCAAGAGGTGAGCCACAAGACGGATTGATCTTCGAGGTGCAGAAGCCCATACGGATTTCATCCTGAGCCCTCCACCCTCAGAAAGTGCTCAGTTGGAGGACTCGCGCGACGCGCGGGACATGCTCGTGTCCGCGCTGTCGTACCTGCGGACGGAGCAGCTGCAGACGGAGCACCACCGCCTCCAGCGGCTCGCCCGGCTCGGAGGGGACTTGGCCGTTCTGTGGGGCACCGCGAAGATGCGCGACCAGATGGCGCGCGTGGAGATCGACGCGAGGTGGCCCGTTCCAGAAGCCCTGAGTTCGAACATGTTGACATCCCCCCACGTCCTCTCGCCAAGAGGTTACGATGGATGGCTTCTCTTAATTTTCGGCCTCCGGGGGCCTTCACCCGGCCCTGCGACTGTCAAACACGGATTCGGGATGAGAAGCCGGTCCCGGAGAATGGGTCCAGACCTCTGGGGGTCCACGTTCGGCGTCGGAGTTCTGGGTCTCCCGTGGGCGCATCTTCTGCGTCCGCCGCCGGCCCGCCCTCTTTGCGGGCAGTACTTATATCCATATCCAGAGCGTCGTGGACTTTTTGGGAAGAGGTGCCGCAGCGCCGAGGCGCACCAGATATGGATAAAATCAAGCCTCTTGGGGCCAGATTTGTATCCATATCCAGTGCGTCTACGGTTTCTAGGGAAGATCGAGGGAGCGTAAGACCCGGGTTTGCCAGGACTCGGGTTCGCCATCGTTTTTTGACGACCGCGCCTCGGATTCTGACGAGGAGGAGTTTCGTGGGATGTCTGCAGCGGGAGGCCTCGTCAAAATGCAGGCTCGGCCTCGTTTTTTTTTTGTTGACGACCTCGTCGGGGATTTCCAAGTCCCCTGTACGGTAGGTCCGCGTCGTGTCGACCAGCGGCGACCCCAGCGCGGGCGTTCAAGGTTGAACGCCGCCGGCGACCCAGAATCGATCGATGTTGAACGATCGGACGTTGCGGCAGCGGCCGATCGTTCAAGGTTGAACGATCCCTGCGGTGTCAAAAACCAGCGCTGGGGTCGGCACGACGCGAACCTGCCGGACCCGGGTCTTACGCCCCCCGGAAACTGTTGCCCGCACTCTTTTTTGCCTCCGGCCTGCGCTGCCGCCACCCGCCCGCCGAGGCAGGGGCGACGCCGCCTCGCGCCCTCCGGGGCGAGGCCCGTCCCCGGGCGCCTCGGTCGCAAGCAGCAGCAGCACGAGCACAAACTTTTGTCAGGAAGGAGGAAAAAAAACACAGACACAATTCATCGTCGATTCCCAGGACAATATGCGAAAATATGGGAAGTGTGTGTGGGGGGGGGGGAGACAGAAACCCAGAACATGTACGAAACTATGGGGAATCTTTTTATTTGTGTGTATTTATTTGTGTGTCCTTGGGCCCCTTCATTTTGGAGGCCCGCGCGGGGTTCCCGGATCGGCGCTGGACCCCCCTCCCTCCGGAGAGACGAGAAGAAGCGGAGCATGAGGGGAACGATTGGAACAAACGATGACGAACATGTGGGCAAATAGTACAGTCGGGGCCCTGAAGAAGGAACCCTTTTCGTTGGGGAGGGGCTCGGTGTTCCTTGATTGTTCTACAGTTTACCTTCTGTCTTCCTGAGGTTTTCCATGGGAGGTCGAAGTTCAACTCATGGGAGGAAGGGGCCCCGTTCCTCATTTAGGGTTCCTTAGGTCAACGCCCCGGCTGTAGAATGGGACGTGGGAAGGCGAAGACCTGTGATCCTCCTCCTCCTCCTCCTCCTCCCTCCTCCTCCTCCTCCCTCCTCCTCCTCCTCCTCCTCCTCCCTCCTCCTCCTCCTCCTCCTCCTCCCTCCTCCTCCTCCTCCTCCTCCTCTCCTCCTCCTCCTCCCTCCTCCTCCTCCTCCTCCTCCTCCTCCTCCCCTGCAGTTGGACAACTGCAGGGCATCCCGGGAGCTGCGTCGACTCTCCCCGCGCTCTGGCGCGCGGGCCCCCGGCGCGCCGAGCGCGCGCCGGGGGCGGCGCCAGAGGCGCCGCGCCGGGGGGGGGCCCTGGGCGTGACTCCGAGACACCTGCACGAGGAGGAGAAGAGAGAGGAGGAGGAGGAAGAGGAGGAGGAGGAGGAGGAGGAGGAGGAAGAGGAGGAGGAGGAGGAAGAGTCGGGCCGGACGAAAGGGGGGGATTGGGAAAGGGGGGGCTACGAAATCTGCTGCGTGCAGCTGGTTTCGGCCCCGCCGCCGGGCCCATCCCTCGATACATGGGTCAGTGCAGACGGGGGTCAGTGCAGACGGGGGTCAGCCAGAGCGCCGGATCTTGCAGGATCCTGCAGCGCCAGGGTCGCATTGACCCGAGGTTGGGGTGCAGGATCCTGCAGGATCCTGCAGGATCCTTCGCATTGACCCGGGTTTGGGTGCAGGATCTTGCAGGATTTTGCAGGCCGGATTGACCCGGGTCTGCATTGACCCGGGTCAGAAGATCCCCGTCTGACTCCGAGACACACCTGCACGAGGCTCCGAAAGTTTTCGTTTTGGTCAGTGCCCCCGTCCCTTTTTTCCTTCGGCCGCGTCCTCTCCCCCCCCCTCTCCTGCACGGCGGCACAAGTCGCCCTCACGGCATCCCCGTCAAAGCCTCCCGTCGCCAGCGCAGTCACCTTCTGCCTTGCCGCCGGCGCAAACATGTCTTTGTCAGTGCCCCGAGTGCCCCTGTCCTGGCACAGCTGTCGCAGGTTTGGGTCGCGCGGAGTTCCTGGATCGGCGCACGACCCCCCTCCCTGCCACGCGGAGCGCGCCAGGGGCGGCGCTGGAGGCGCCGCCAGGGGGTCCGTGGCGCAGATCCGAGAAAGGTGCGCGAAGCTCCGAGAGTTTACTTCGAGTTGGAATCGACGATTCGTCGCCGACCACTTGCGAGAGGCCCGATTGGCCCCCGATGGCGATAGGCCCGTCTCAGAAGTCCGCGGGCGGATCTCCGACAGCTCACAGCCGTCACATTGAAACGGCCTGCCTGCAGGTGCCCCGCGGAAATGTCCTATCCCCTGGCGGCCCCAGGGATCCACAGAAGCCCTGTGGCACCCCAGGGCCTCAAACTCCTGACGAGGAGCGCGCCCCGAGATTTTCCCTACGGCAGCAGCTCATCCCAGAGCTCCGACGTCGTGACCTCTTCACAGCGAGGGCCCCCCCCCTGAGGTCTGGACCCCTTCCCGCGGGACCCCCCGAGTCGTTTTGCGACGGGCCCCGGGGCCCGGCGAGGGCCCTCAGGGGCGAAACGCTGCGCTTAAGACGCTCCGCCCGCGGGACTGCCCCTTCCCCCCCGAGTCGTTCTGCGACGGGCCCCGGGGCCCGGCGAGGGCCCTCGGCGGAGGCGAAGCGCTGCGCTCAAGACGCTCCGCCCACGCTGCTCCGTGGCGACGGCTTGCGGGTTCGAGGCCCCGCGGCCCCACAGCCTTGGTGTCGCTCGGGCGTGTGCACCTTTTCTTGGCGGGGACTATTAAGGAGCATCCTGGATCAGCTTGCGAAAAAAAAAAAAAAAAAAAAAAAAAACGAAACCGAACAAAAAAGCACAGGGAAGGGACGTCCGAGCGATGGCCGGCAGAGGTCCCGGCCGTGGACCGCCCTGGATCCACCGCCGAGGGTCCCTGGGCCCGCGCACGGTCCCGCGGGGGCCGCCATCGGGGAACAGCTGCACAAAACACGTCGTCGTCGTCGTCGTCGTCGTCGTCGTCGTCGTCGTCGTCTCCTCCTCCTCCTCCTCCTCCTCCTCTCCTCCTCCTCCTCCTCTCCTCCTCCTCCTCCTCCTCCTCCTCCTCCTCCTCCTCCTCCTGCCCCAGGTCGCGGCGCGCCGTCTCCGCACGCGTTTGCCGCCGAGGCTGGCTGGGCCCGCGTGGGGGCGTTTGTTAGGAGGCTTCAGAGCCTTGAGGGTCCCTCATCTGAGCAGGGCAGCAGTGATGTCCATGGCAAAGCCTTGGTTGGTGTTCTTCCGGCTATCAGACGCTGGATTCTTGACCCAATGGTTCCTCATCCACTGCCCTCTCTGTATGTGTTTGCTGTGTGTGCATCGTAACATTCCTCTGCCCAGCTGAGCGACAGCACAAAAAACGGGGCAGATTGCGAAAACGATCGCGCGCAAGCTGTCCGCGTAAGGTGGCGCGCAAGCGCCCTCGTTTCCCATGCAGCGTGCCGTGCTGGCGGCTCGCGTAAGCCACCGGCGTAAGGCCGTACGCCATCCTGCGCAAGACCCGTGCCTTTCCGTCGCCGTGGCCGTGACGCCGCCCCGCGGCCGCTGCCAGGGGTGCAGCATCCTCTGGCCGCCCCGGCCGCTCCGCGGCGAAGCGCCCCGCCACGTGAGTGCCCTCCCCGCCCTTCCTCAGGAGCGAAAGAAGGACGTACATGTACATGAATCCACGCTGGTTTCGAGAGCACGCATTGCACAAAGGTTCGTATCACGCGGCCGGTCTCGCGAATCGAGGGGCCGCGTTCATGTACATAGCTGGGCGCGTACGTCCTTTGTGGGCTCCCTACTTCCCCCCTCCCTCGCGGCCGCGTTCGCCCGGCCTTTCCCCCTACTCCTGCCGCCGCTTGGCCTGCGCGTTCCGCTGCCCGCGCCGCCCGGGCGCGCGTGCGGGCTGCTTCTCCTGCGCCGCGGCGTAACACTCAGGAAGGGAAACAACACACAGACACAATTGATCGCCGATTCCCCAGGAGATAGGGGAAAATATAGGAAATGGGTGGGAAGACAAAAACCCAGAAAATATGGGAAAATGTTGGGAAGCTTGTTATTAGTGGGTGTGTTTTTATGTGTGTGTTCCAGGGCCCCTTCAAACACCTTGTTTTGCCGTCGCCCAGGTGGTCCCAGTGCCTGTCCGTGCTCCGGGTGCCCTTCGACGCCGCGCTGCTCGGCGACCGCGGCGCCCTGCAGGAACAAGGGCGTGGGGGGGGGGGGGGGGGACTGGACTGCGGAAGGGGGGCGCCGACCCCCCCCCCCGCCACCGCGAATGGCCGAGGAAGCGAGACTGTGGACCGGAGCAGGGGCTTCGGGAGCCAGCCTGGGCGGGTGGGGACGGGGCACGGGCCCCCTCGTCGCCTGGGCCTGCCTGGAGCTCGGGAGAAGCGCCCCCCGTGTGAGAGCAAACATGCAGCGCAGCGGTGTGGTCTGTGCCTGCCGCTCCTGGATGAAAAAAGGCAGTCGCGTGAACGTGAAAAATGGCCGGGCCCCGCGCGGCTTGTTTGGATGGGCGCTCGGCCCCCCCCTCCCTGGCGCGCGGAGCTCGCCAAGGGGGGCTCCAGCGCAGATCCGAGAAATCACCGCGGACCTCCGAAAGTTCGTGCGCACGTGCGCCAGGTTCGTGTGCTGCCGAGTTGGCGACGGCCCCAGCGCCGGCGTTTATGAGGTGGCACGCCCGCGGTGGCCCGGAGCCGGCCGCCAAGAAGCGATCCCTGCGCTGCGGTGGGAACCCATGCCAAGCAACACCCTGCTTGCCTCCAGGGTGCCCTGGCCTTACCCATCGGCCGCTGAAAGTAGGTAGGTATCTTGGGATTCCCAGAACCCAATTTACTTCAAGCGCCTTCCTACTTCAAGAATCGGTATGCTTTTGCTACGTGTTGTTACTCTCTGGGCGGGCCCTCACCCAATCTACTTGATTCGCCTTCCTACTTCATGTTTCTACCTACTTTTTCCGACCGATGGGTACTGGGCTTCGACGGTTTTGCTATGGAAAGCGTGGCGTTCCCACGCCAAAAGTCCATGGAAGTCCTGGGGGGCTCAGGGCTGGGCTTCTTGTGGGAGGTTTCTTGTGGTCGAGCTCCCATTGGGATGGAGGTGATGAACGAACGGACGAGCCAGGAGCCTTCCAGGTCGAACGATCCACGCGGTGTCAGCCACCGCCGCCGAAGTCGTCACGGCACGAGCCTGCCGCACGCAGCCCTCTCCTCTCCGAGTCCCCCCCCCCCGCAGGTGCGAGCCTGCGGGCGCTGACCTCCGGCAGGCCGCAGCCCGCCCCGGAGGCCGAGGCCGAGGCCGAGGCCGCGGCCCATGCGCGCGCGCTGGTGCCGCGGCTGGCGTGCGCCACCGGCTTCGACCTCGGCGCCGTGCTGCGCTTCGGCCGCGACCACGGGCTGCCCGAGCAGGAGCTCGGCCTCGGCCCCCGACCTCTCGGGGTTCGGGGCGGGAGAGGCTCCGGGAGGCACGCATCGACCCCCCCATCGCCCACGGTCCGTGGGCGGCGGGGGGGGGGGGAATACATCGGGCCCCTCTCGGCGATCAGCGTGATCGCCGATAGGGGCCCGATGCAGCCCACCCCACCCAGGAGCGCGCGGGTTCGCAATCGGGGGCCTGTCGCCGATCCGCCGGCGACGTCTCGCTGGCTCGAGAGCCCTGGCTCGAGCCCGCGGCCCCAGGCCCTCGCCCAGCCCAGCCCGAGGCCCACCGGCGATGTCGCGGGGCGCGGCGGGGCTCGGCGCGGCACGCAGCGCCGCCCGGCGCCGCGGGCGCCGCGGGCTTGCCGCCGGCCTCGGCCGCGCTTGCCGGCCGCCGCTGCTCGCGGTGCTTCTGCTGGGAGCTTTTGGCACGCGCTGGCCTGGAGGAGGCGGCTTCTGCGCCCCCGCGCCATGGGCCCGCGGCGGGCGCGCGCTCCACTCGCCGCGGGCCGCGGGCGACGCTGCTGCGGCGGCCGCCGGGGGTGCCCCGGCGGCGGCGGCGGCGGCGGCGCCCGAGGTCGGGGGGGCGGAGAGGGCCATTCGCGCCATGTACGCGGCGGTGCTCGCCGGGGACGTGGATGCGGCGATGGCCTTCGTCGATCCCGAGGTGGTCTACGAGGACACCACGTTTTCCGAGCCGCTGGACTACAGTGGGGTGCGGGAGCTCTTTGGGGAGGTGCGGGAGAAGCTGCCAGAGGACTTCCAGTTCGTCATCGACGAGGTCGCCGACGGCGGGACCGCGGTGGGCCTCACCTACCACGCGGAGCTCTCGGGCACGCCCCTCCAGGGCTCCAAGGGCACCGCCTTCTACAGGTACAATCCTGAGACGTTCAAGCTCGTGTACTGCCGGGAGTGCAACGAGCCGTCCGTGAAGATGGGGAGCGGCGCGCTGGACATGCTCCGCATCATGGCGCCGTTCCTGAGGGGCTCGCGGTAGCCCACGCGCCTCCTCCTCCTCGTCCTCCTCCTCCTCGTCCTCCTCCTCCTCCTCCTCCTCCTCCTGACCGTCTTCCCAGCGTTTCTGACATAGTGTGGTGGCCCAAGCTCGCGCTGGCGAGTCTGCGCGACACACATCCCGAAACTGCGTCTGATCCGCAAGCGCTGCCCCGTCTCATCGCCTCCCCCGCCTCGCCGACTTCGCAGTCCTGAGCGGGCCCGACCTCCACAGGGAGCGCGGGCCCAGCGCCGTTGCCCGCATGGGCACCGTGTCCCGCGCCGCCCACGGCACGCTGCCGAGGTGGAGTTCACACAGATCATGCTCTCTATTCTGTCGCCCTGCCTCGTGGCCCCGGTCTTGCCGGGCTGCCAGCGCAGGCGTGATGGTCATTCTGTGTTCCAGCACCGCCACGGTCTCGCCTGGCCTCTCGGCGCCGTTGCGAGAGCACACCGTGCCCAGAGGTCCCTCGGAGCAGCGGAAAAAAAGTCGGCGATGCATCTCGGGAGCCTCGAGACGGGGGTCAGTGCAGACGGGGGTCAGCCAGAGCGCCGGATCTTGCAGGATCCTGCAGCGCCAGGGTCGCATTGACCCGGGTTTGGGTGCAGGATCCTGCAGGATCCTGCAGGATCCTTCGCATTGACCCGGGTTTGGGTGCAGGATCTTGCAGGATTGTGTAGGCCTGATTGACCCGGGTCTGGATTGACCCGGGTCAGAAGATCCCCGAGCATCGCCGATTCCAGCTCGATGCTTCCCCCCTGTGCGGGCAATGTCTATATCCACATCCAGTGCGTCTTGGAGTTTCGGGCTCTCTTCCCAAGAAACATGAGGCGCACTGGATGTGGATTATAGTCTGCCTCCAAAAAGGCCAAAGTTTTATCCATATCCAGTGCGCCTCGGCCTTGCGGCGCCCCTTCCGAGAAAGTCCAAGACGCACTGGGTATGGATATAGATATTGCCCCCCCCCTGGGCCGGCCCCTCCCCGCCCGTTGCCGCTCCTCCGTTGGGCCCAGACCTCCGACGAGCTTTTTTTGTGTCTCAGTCCTGGCGTGCTCCTTCGGTTGTCGGCTCCGGGGGCCCGCGGGGCCATCCGGGGTGGATCTGTGGGAGAGAAGCGGTCCGGACCCCCCAGGCCGCGCACGGTGCAGGAGGGAAAACACACACACACACGCACACACACACACACACACACACACGCACGCACACACACACACACGCACACACACACACACACACACACACACACCGACGCAGTTGAGCGTCGATTCCCCAGAAAAGATGGGAACACATGGGAAGCGGGGAAGACGGGAAGCCCACCAACTTGCAAAACATACGTAAGTATGGGGAACCCTGGGGTTCGTGTGTCTTTATTTGTATTTGTGTGTGTGTGTGTCCCTGGGTCCCTTTCAGTGGAAAAGGCACGATCGGCGGACATCAGGAGCAGTGGCTTCAGACATCAGCCCTCCCCCGTCGCGAAGCCCTGGCATCGCTCGGACGTGTGCATGTTTTCCTCGGCGAGAACCATGGAGGAGCATCCTTGATGGTTTGGCAAAAAAAAAAAACGCGCACGAAACCGAACAAACACACAGGGAATGGACGTCCCAGCGATGGCGAGAAGCCGCCACGCGGTTTCTTGTTTTTGTCGACCTTCGGGGCCTCTGGGGCCCCCCGCCTTTTTTCAGGAGGGGAAAAAACACACACAGACACAATTATTCGTCGATTTTTAGGAAAATATAGGAAAATATGGGAAGTGGGGGGGAAGACGATAATCCAAAAAATATGGGAAAATATGGGGAGTATTTTTATTTGTGTGTATTTATTTGTGTGTCCTGGGCCCCCCGCCTTTTTGCGGAGGCTCGAGCACCGCAGCGCCGGGCCTCGGCCTCTCTGGGGGGGCTGCTCCTCGGGTGCCGCCCGGGGGCCGCGCGGCCGTGAGGGGTAATTAATTCAGGAGGGGAAGAAACACACAGACACAATTAATCGTCGACTCCCAGGAAAATATGCAAAAATATGGGAAGTGGTGGGGAAGACAAAAACCCACAAAAAATTTTGGAAAATATGGGGGATAATTTTATTTGTGTGTATTTATTTGTGTGTGTTCCAGTTCCCCTTCATTAATGCCCGTGGCGGAGCGCTGGTCTCGGGGACGGGGTCGAGGGTTCCAGGACCCGGCGCCTAGGCTGAAGTCGGGCGTGTCCCCCTACAGGGGGGATTTTCGGCGAAAAATATAGCCCAAAAAATAACCAAAGAATGCTCAAAAAATAGTCTGGAGACGATGTTTTCAAGTAGTTGTTTTACCTTTTTGGAGTATGTTTGGGGTCTTGCTTATTTTTTGCAAATCCCCTTGTAGGGGGACACGCCCGACATAAGCCTAGGCGGGGCGTTTCAAGCAGTGGCGAAGCGTCCTGTCTCGCCTATAGCCCTACCAGACAATGTTCTGACAACCTGTTGTGGCTTCCACGAAGTGTTCTCAGAACAGTTATGGCGGAGTCTGTCTTGCTTTATCACATCGGGTTTTTGTTCTAAGAGCATTCTTTTTGTTCTTCGAACTTTTCCGGGTTCTAAGAACATTTTGTGGTAGGACTACAGGAATGCCAAGACGGTCGGTCCCTGCTCAAAAGTTATACATGACCGCCGCCCGGAGCGTCAGTTTTCGGAGCCTTGGCAGGCGGTGGACATGGACATGTTCGGGCCCCCGGGGGCCGAAATGTATCCACATCCACCGCCCGCTAGGGCACCAGGACGTCGGTTCCCAGGCGGTGGATATGGATAAATCCCCGCCTCGCACCGGCGCACTGGCCGAAGAAGGAAAGAATGGCATGAGCATGGAACTCCTCTCAGGAGGGGGAGAAACACACAGACACAATTAATCGTCGATTCCCAAGAAAATATAGGAAAATATGGGAAGTGGGGGGGAAGACAAAAACCCAGAAAATATAGGAAAATATTGGGGAATCCTTTTATTTGTGTGTGTATTTATTTGTGTGTCCTGGGGCCCCTTCATCCTCGGGGGCCAGGGGCGGCACCGGAGGCGCCACCAGGAGGTCACCGCCGCTCCAAGCAATCCGCGCGGACCTCCGCAAGGTCCCCCAAACTTGCTGGCACTTAGGGCTTCTTGCTTTCCTTGTGTACGGTAGGTTCGCGTCGTGCCGACCGGCGCGACCCCGCCGCCAGCGTTCAACACTGAACGCCGCCGGCGACCCAGAATCGGTCGATGTTGAACGATCGGACGTTCCGGAAAGGGCCAATCGCTCCAGGTTGAACGGTCCCCGTGAGGCCAGGAACCACCGCCGGGGGTCGACACGACAGGAGCCTGCCGTGAGGGGATTGGATGCGTAACCCGAGGGTTTGGCAGGTACCCAGTTGGTGCCTGTGGCCGCCGTGGGCGCCTCGTGGGCGCCCCGCGCTGAGGGGGTAGCCCGGGCCCCGAGGTTTCTGTTGGTGCCCAGCTGGTCCCGGGTGGGTGCGCGGTCGTGAGCGCCCGCGGGGGCCTCGTGAGCGCCACATAGCTGGCACCACACAGAATTGCACCACATGGATTGCACAACATAGCTCGTGCCACGTAGCTTGCACGACACATCTTGCACCACGTAGCTCGCACCACATGCACTGCACAACATGGCTTGCACCGCGCAGCTTTCGCTTCATAGAATGCACCACGTAGCTTACACATAGTTTGAACCATCTAGCTTGCACCACATAATCCGTAAGGGGCTTTGCCCTATGCAGCTGACCCCCTGTTTAGCAGAATGGTATATGCCAAGGCTCTCTTGGGATGCATGGGCGCCGACTTGAAGCAATATCGGAACCTCATGGGAGGACGGCTGGTTTTCGTGGCGTCATTTGCAAGAAATCGTGGCCTCACGGGAACGAATCTTGGACAATTCGCCAGGGATCGTGGCCTCGGGGGCGCGAGTCTGGCGTGATTTGCATGGGATCGTGGCCTCAGGGGCGCGAGCGCGGCGCAATGTACGAGGTATCACTTACAACGGATGAT